TCTGGTGTTCGTGCTCCGCAGGGGTGAAGGCCAGGGCTGTCTGACCCGCAGCCGCAGCCCCAGCCCCAGTTCCCAGCAGGGCCTGGGGCGTGAATGTGTGCAAACAGTTTGGGGCAGGAGGCCGGGGTCCCGCTGCAGCTCAGGGGCCACCACGCAGTCGCCTGCGGCTCTGTGGCGCCCCCGGGTGCAGAATGGGCACCTGTCCCTGCCGCTTATTTAGCGACTTAGATGCTTGGTACTTGGCACAGGGATTCAGAAAGGAAGGCCCCTGGGACGGGGCCATGCCCAGAGGCCGCACCGGAGGGAGGGCCGCGCTCACACTAACGCACCTCGGGCGGCAGTGACATCTGTCAAGCCAGCCGCAACGGCGCTCACTCGCCTGCTGTGGACTTGCTCCTGCAGGGCCCCCAGGAGCCGGGATGGCCTCATGGTGCTGGCCTCACAGCCCGGCCTGCACACGCTTCTCACACTCGGCCTGGATGCCCACCACCGGCCCCCGCACACCGACAGGGGCCGGATGCTCAGACCCACAGGACACACTAACCCCAAGCCCCTCCACCGCCGGACCGGGGTGACTCCCACCCCTGCCCCTCTATCCCGGCCTCCGCAGCTCTCACCTCCTCAGGAAGCCCTCCCTGCCAGCTCACCCCCCTCGGAGACCCTACAGGCCTTCGCCTCGACCAGGGGTGGGCAAACTTTTTGACTCGAGGGCCACAATGGGTTCTTAAACTGGACCGGAGGGCCGGAACAAAAGCATGGATGGAGTGTTTGTGTGAACTAATATAAATTCAAAGTAAACATCATTACATAAAAGGGTACGGTCTTTTTTTTTTTTTTTAGTTTTATTCATTTCAAACGGGCCGGATCCGGCCCGCGGGCCGTAGTTTGCCCACGGCTGGCCTGGACCGTTCAGCCAGCCCTGTCTCATGGAGGCAGCCCTTCCTCTCTCCAGGCTGCTAAGCGGGGTAGGTCCCCCTCCACCCCAGCCTCAGCGCCCAGGACGGAAGGTGCAGGCCAGGGGCTGAGCGGGGTGCCTGGCATGGAGCAGGCCTGCCCTACAACTACCTACAAACCAGTTAATGCAGCTGCTTCATGCGCGTGGAGGGGGGAGAGTGCAGGGTGGAGGGGGGGGGGCCTGAGATGGCACTCCACCCCCACCCTGAGGGCTCCTCTGAGGACCACCGGGCTGGCTGGTGGTCAGGAGAGAGCCAGCACCACAGCCCCAGTAAGCCCCGTGCTCAGTCTAGACCAGCCGTGGGCAAACTACGGCCCGCGGGCCGGATCCGGCCCGTTTGAAATGAATAAAACTAAAAAAAAAAAAAGACCGTACCCTTTTATGTAATGATGTTTACTTTGAATTTATATTAGTTCACACAAACACTCCATCCATGCTTTTGTTCCGGCCCTCCGGTCCAGTTTAAGAACCCATTGTGGCCCTCGAGTCAAAAAGTTTGCCCACCCCTGGTCTAGACCCACACTGTCCAGTGCAAATGCAATGCCAGCCACTGAGGGATTTTAAAATATAAAATGTTTCCTGGTCCAAAAATGGGGGTGGGAGAGGAGAGATGATGCTAAACTAAAGACCTGCCCTTGGAGGGCTGGGGGCAGTGTATCAGAACTCCAACAACATCTCCCTCAAACTGAGAATTTCCACCTGAAAGCTAAAAATTTCTATGTATTTGAAGAAAATCATAGCCTTAATTGTGCTGTCTGAAAAGTTAAACTAGTCATTTTCTATCCTTTTTTTTATTTTTTTTTTTTTTTAGAGAGATAGGAAAGGAGAGGGAGGGAGAGATAGAAACATCCACGAGAGAACATTGATTGGCTGCCTCCTGCACGCCCCCTACTGGGGATGAAGCCGAAACCCGGGCATGTGTTTGGTGCTTGGGTTGACACCAACCACTGAGCCACACTTTCTAGTTGCTACATTTGAACTCAAACTATCCAAAATATTATCATTTCAACGTGCAATCAGAATTTATTATGAGCTATTGGCACTCCAGCGCGTACTTCGCGCTTGGAGCCCATGGAGGTTCCGCCCAGCCCCGCCCAGGGCTCAGTGGCGGTCTCCTTGGACGGACGGACCAATGGGGGAGGCTGGCTGGGTAACCATGGGAAGGTCAGCCGGGTTCTCTGGCACGGCCTCTGCCCATTGTCCTGGCAAGGGTGCGGCCCTGCGGGCTGGGTAAGGGGACAATAACTCCGTCCTGGAACTTTGGGGGAGGAGCTACAACTTGGCCCTCGGACTCAGCTACGACTCTGCAGCTGGTTCTCACCCACCCAGGGGGCCTCAGGGAGGGGCGACATGTCCACGGAGGAGTGGACATTGCAGGCAAAGGGAAGGATGGCTCTCATGGCAGCACACCTCCTAGGCACACCACAGTCACCCACACAGTTCCAGGTCATGCCTGTGGTCCCAGTGTATGCATCAACAGCGCCCCCTTCCTGTCCCCCTCAAGCAGGTCAGACTCGCGGCGGGCGGGCGCATGCCCTCGCTCAGGCAGCCAGTTTGACCTGCTTGGCCTGGCCTGAACGCCACCCTTTCCTGCCCCCCAGGCTGATGCTGAGGGAGGTCGGGAAGCTGGCAAAGGGCACACAGCCTCCAGGCAGCAGGCTGGGCTTCAGAGCAGAGGCTCTTGACTCAGGGGTTCTCGGCCCAGAGGCTTGATGGCTCGGCCTTGGGCCTCAGGACCCTCCCCGCATCCAAGGCTGCAAACAGCTGAGAAACAGAGGCGGCCTCCGTGGGAAGGCTTGGCGGGAGGAGGAGGGAAGGGGAAGAGAGCCCAAGGCCCCCCATGCCAACGCTGGGCTCACAGCTTTCCTTAAAGTCGCCCCACAGGAGTCAGCACCTGCTGCCTCTTTACCAGCCCTGCCCCAGGGCCCCGGAGTCTTTCCTTCGCCCATGAGGGTGGTTTCTGCAGCTTATGGTCTCCAAGTTAGAGTCCCCCCGGCCCACCCCTGGGCTCCTCGGAACGCCAGAGGGGCAGGTCTGGGCTCCAGCTCTTGGGCCCGAGCCCGGGATAGTCAGTGCTTTCGCCTGGACCATTCAGCCAGCCCTGTCTCGTGGAGGCTGCCCTTCCTCTCTCCAGGCCGCCGGGCCCCCCTCTCCCCCCAGCCTCAGCGCCGAGGACGGAAGGTGCAGCCTGTCAGGCAGAGGGCTAGCAAGGACACCCCTCTGCCGAGTGGTCTGTTGGGACAGAGCGGCTGCGGAGCACCGTGACCAACAGGAGGAAGCGGATCAAGGGTCCGGGGCCCGGGACTGCGTCCCACCAGGAGTTCCCCAACCCTGTGTTGAAACAGGCTGAGAACTCGCTTTCCGCAAGGCAAATGTTAGCTTAGCAGAGTGGCCACGTCAGACGCCTGAAAACTCTCCCCGCACCCGCCTGGGCTCTGACAGCGTGGCTGCTCCCTCGCCAGCGTCACAGCAAACAAATAGCCCAACCACACTCCTTCCTTCTTTCCTGGCCTCTGGGTCCCACGGGTGACTGGGGTGCCTTCCCACCCCAGGCGGTGTGGCAGCCCCTGTGGCAGTAGCAGCAGCCAGCACTGAGAGCTCGGCCATCGGGTGCTGCCAGACAGGGACACCTGCCACCCTTCCTGCCTCCGGAAGAAGCTGGCCAGTGGGGCGGCTGCTGCCCTTGCCTATCCCTGCCAGGCAGGGGTGCAGGTGAGTGGGTCCGGCCTCCCTTCTTTCATCGGGAAAAGGAAGATACAAATGGCAGCACCCCTTCTTCCCTAAGATCCTCCATGGAGGGCTCCGATGGTGCCAGGACCAGGCAGCAGCCACGGGGAGGAGCAGGAGATTGGGGCCCAGCAGCTTAACCTGTTGTTCGGTACCTCGGGGGTCGCGCTCATTCAATACAAATATCCACTCAGCCGTTGGAGCCTTCATCCACGGGGCTCCGCGGTTTAGGGGACCCGGCTGCGCTCTCGAGGGGCATTAGGCAGGCAAGAGAGGAACTGGGGACTGCGCGCCCAACGCCCGGACAGGATTGAATGTGTGCATGGGTCACGCGCACAAGGGCCGGTGGAGATGGCCGCCGAGCCAGGGAGTTTGGGGCCTGGGCTAGGCGGACGGCGCGGCTGGGAGCCGACAGGACGACCGACCCCGAGGCGCGCACAGGTGGGCAGTGGGGCTTCGACGCAGCCTGTGAATTGGGGGCCGGCGGCGCCTGCCCCTTCTAGGGCTCTGTGGAGCAGGCGGGCATTGCTTCGCGAGAACTAGTGTGGACAGAAACCAACTTCACCGGCAGAACTGGAAACCGGAGACGCGATAGCCGTAACCAGGCAACCGCCGGCGGTTCGAGGTGCGCACGCGCATTCCGCCGCGGGTCAGCGCATGCGCCGTCGCCTCCCGCCAGTCTACCAGCCTTCGAGTCCAACGACCGAATGGGAAGAACGCGCCTGCGCCAGAGCACCGCTCGGGTTCTCCGCTCAGCAGAAAGCAGTTCTCGGCAGGTGCACCTGCTGGCATCAGTCGTCCAGGACTGATTCTTCCTTCGAGTCTGATTGAAGAATCCCTACTATTCACACATCCTACAACGAGAAACGGCTGCGAGACAGAGTCAGCGTAACCGGGGCGACGTTTAGGAGCGGCCCCCCGCGCGCCCTCCCAGGCAGGTGGGCTAGAGGCGGGGCGAAGAGATGGGCGTTGGAGGACTGGATGAGGCGGAGGGCGGGGCCAAGGGCCGGAACTAAAGAATGGGGCGTTGAAGGATTGGACGCCGTCGGGGGCGGGGCCAAGGGATGCGGCAGTGAAGGATTGGACGCAGGCTGGGGCGGGGCCAAGGATGGGCCAAGGAAGGTGGTGAGCAAGGGGCGGGGTTAATATGGGGCGTGGCGAAGGGATGGGCGGAGACCAGGAGCGGGATGAAGGGCTGCGCGGTGAAGGGCAGAACGTCGGGGAGGGGCGGGCCAAGGGGCG